TCTTAGGAAACATTATACCTTAAGATATCCTGGGCTCAGACTATATAGGGCACTGGTTCTCAACCTGTGGGTCCCCAGATGTTTTGGTCTTCAACTCAGAGAAATGCTAACAGGTAAAATGGCTGGGATTTCTGGGAGTTGTAGGCCAAAACACCTGGGACCCACAGTTGAGAACCATTGATTTAAAGCATGGTTAAAAAGTTCTAGCTAATGTAATTCACACTTCCTGGAGTAACATATGGGCTGCAACTGCAACAATGTTTCCAAAGATTATATTCATCTCTGAATTTTGCTCAAATATTATACACAAAAGTAATACATTTGGGGAAAGTATCAAACCGATATTTGCACATTAAGGAAAACTGCATGGAAAACATGTATATTACAGAAACACAAAATATTCCTTATTAAGTGATGAAGTTTAGCCTCCTTAGACATCTCCTTACATGTGCCTATGGTCCCTTCTACACTGCCATATAATCCAGATTTCAAAGCAGATAATCCACATTATCTGCTTTGAACTGGATTATATGAGTCTATACTGCCATATGATCCAGTTCAAAGCAGACAATCTGGATTTTATGGCTGTGTAGAAGAAGTCTAAATGAGTTGTAAGATCTTCAGAGGAAGGCTTTCTCTTGAGCCATGACCATCATCATAGGCATCTTTGGTGAGAACATGGGAGAAGTCATTCTCGGTGACTGCTCCCAGGCTCTGTTACCATCTCACACTGTTCTTTTTTTTTTCTTTTTTTTTTGTTCCCAACAGTTCTTTCAAAAGCCCGAACTCTAAAAGCTTTATTGGAAAGTATATTTCTATATACTGTATGTACTTCTGCATCATGAGGCTTTGGAGAGGTAAAGAAATAGCTTGGGTCGTTGAGATGTAAGGCTTTTACCCAAAATATATCCATTCAAGGAAAACCATCTCTACAGCCATAGATGTTAGAAAGTTTACCTTACGAGAAACAAAAACGAACAGAACATTCCACAGGATGAGCAATTCCACATTCCACAGTAGATAATAAGCTTAATATCTGCTGTCACAAAGTACTTATACTTTGTGTTGTCAAAGGCTTTTGTGGCCGGAATCACTGAGTTGCATAAATAGGGTTGCTGTGAGTTTTCCAGGCTGTAATGCCATGTTCCAGAAGCATTCTCTTCTTATGTTTTGCCCACATCTATGTGGGCGAATGGCCTTGCAAGGTGGCCAATTGCAACATTCACATTTGCTTCAAACAGACAAGAGTTCTTTCCCCCACCCTGGACAATCCACAGATATATAAACCTCACTTGCCTAGTTTCCAACAGACCTAACAACCTCTGAGGATGCCTCCCATAGATGTGGGCGAAACGTCAGGAGAGAATGCTTTTGGAACATAGTCATACAGCCTGGAAAACTCACAACAACCCTATTTATGCTTTGGCTGCTTGCATACACTTATGTGCCTTATTCCAAGCACATTGATTCATAGTAAGAGCACAATAAGCTACATTTTTGTAGTATAACTCCTAGAAAGCCCTAGTGAGCATGAGGGGATTCTGGAAGCTGCAGTCTCCAAAACTAACATTCCCAAGCTTTGGGTTTCTGGTTACGCTTGACAAAAGTTATACAACACTGCATTAAACAGGAGGCAGCATGCACAAAAATTAGGCGTATAGTTGCCCAGAGTTTGTGCAATCACCCTTTGGCAAGCCTTTATTTGTAAAATTTCCCAGTACCCATGCTGACGCCAGTAGTCCAATTTGAAGAATTCGCACATGAACTAGTAGTGTCCCCATGCAGTGGTAAGGCTGCACTGAAGTATGCAGTTTTGCAGGGAGATGACTTCAAAATGGATTGCAAATGGTAAAAAGAATATTCTTTTTTAAAAGATGGTATTTCGCTGTCTTCAGGAGATTGCCTCCAAAAGCAGCAAATGCTGGGGCTCAGCAACACTTCCATTCAGAGATATTTCCTTGAGAGATCTCTGAATGCTAACTTTTATTAAAGGTGAAAAGTTTGCATGCCACCTGCCTGGCCTGTACTCTTTAAAGTAGAAGTTGCCATCGGCTGTGTCTGAGTTGATGATCTCAATGTCATTGCTGAGCTAAGATTCAACTGCAGCAAATTATTCTTCTTCATTTCAGGAAACAAAATTTTTGTGTTGTCCCTAATGATTTGAGATGCTGATGAAAATAATACAGGAAGTCATTGTTATTCTGCAGGTGGATCTACACTGCCATATAATCCACTTTCAGAATGCAGACTAACTGCAATGAATTATATGAGCCTACACTGCCATATAACCCAGGTCAATGCCTCCACTGGTTATTTGTTATGTATATAATTCAGATTGCTTACTGTATTGTATATGTATGTATTGGTAAGCAGTTTTTTACTCTTTGTTGTAGGAGGAGCTGCAGATCATATGATCAGAACAGGGTTTGTTCAGGACTCAGACTCCATTTTAGAAACAGTACGGAAACAGACTTCAGTAGGAACCGTTTGCCTTTAGACTTCAGTAGGAACTGTATGCTTTCAGATGCCAGTAGAAACAGTACAGTTTAGACTCCATTGGGCTTTCAGACTAGACAGAGACTCTAATAGACGCTCAAAACTGTGGACTATTGATTCCTTGAAAGATGCCCTGTGTTACTTACACAGATAACCTATTTCAAATCCTATTTGTAACTGGACTGATAAGCAAAGTACCTGTATACTGAATACATGAAGTTTGTGAGAAACCAACTATGTTACTTTTAAAGAAGTCTGCTTATTTTTGTCTCTCAAAAGCATGATTGAAAGGCAAATATACTTTAAGGGAAGGTAGATGTTTTTGGGCAACTAGTAAAAGAACACTTCTGAAACTCTGCTATATATGTGTGTGTGTTTTGTACATTGGCATATTTTGTCCCTAACAGTTCAAAGACATACCTAGGTACATCCGTTTAACAGCTGAGTAACCTAATTGCCTTGCATGAATGCCATTTTCCCTAAAGGTCATGGCATCATTTTTTCAAAAAGGTTATGATTTCTAACAAGGTCATGCTTTCCCAATGTTCATAAAATCTCCATTTTGCAAAAAATGCAGTTAACCTGCATTCAGAAATTGGATTATATGGCAGTGTAAATGGAACATGCAGTTGTTGTTGTTGTTGTTGTTGTTGTTGTTGTTGTTGTTGTTGTTGTTGTTGTTGTTGCTGTTGTCTTTATTTATACCCCAGTTTTCTCTCCACAAAGGAGACTCATTTCTGAAAACAAAAGGTTAAAGATAACATTTTGCATTACTACAATTCATCAGTAGATGGGGTAAGAGATCTGAGATTTACAGGATGAAACCTATGTCATTAAATTCAGGAGGATTTAACAGATAAGGAACATGCTTAGGATGGCAGGTCTATTAATTACATTTCAAATCTTGTGCCAAAATAATACATTTAGTTAAAACATGCGCAGGTTAATTTCTATGTTGTTCTATTTATGAAGAAATACATACAATCAACTTAAGTCATTTATCATAACGTTTCTATCTTTGTTATCTGTATATTTAGCAGAAAGAGATTAGTGATTACCCTGGATTTTGATATCTTTAATTCTCTGTTTACCATGTTGATTATTCTGATCATCACAGATTATTTTGACTTGCAAGTCATATGGAAGAACAAAGCAATTTCTACATTTCTTTCCATGTTTCTGTTTTTTAGTGAAAGAAATGCTGATGCAAACAAAATAATTTTAATGGAAAGGATGGCATTCTATAGGATCTGTCAGATAAAATTGGGGTGTCACATTTTTTCACATTTAGTTACAAATCCAACAGAATTGCGGTTATGGAAGAGATTTGCGACAGATTTTCTGTAACACAAGCTTTTGGTGAAAATAAAATTTTCTTCAAAATTCTACCTATTTCAATGTATTTTTGGGTGCTGCATTTGAAAAACCACAATTAAAATGTCATATCACATAATTTTTCTTTCACAGATTTCATTACTAATTTGATTTAGTCATATCTTACAACCGAGAAACATCAAGAGAAGTTGTGGAAAAACTGTACATGATGGAGGAAATCTGAAGTACTTTTGGGATTTAGAACATCACATTCCTATAACACCAGCATACATTACAAAAAAGCTTTTATGACCCCCAATCTGTGTAATTGTCGTTAGTTACAGAATTAATTACAGTAATTACAGTCCCGAACTCAAGTCATAAAACTCAAGTTAAAAAATAGAAATAGAGCCAGAGCTGGAAAATAATCATGGGAAAATGTGGGGTATAAATAAAGAGATTTGTTGGTTGAGCACAATTTCACAGAGCTGACAAATGGTTGCAGACTGGATGTTCTTGACAATCACAGAAAGGGAAAGATTCCTATGATCACTCAGGTTTTTCTCTTTTATTGAAAGTGGGTGCAGATTCCCCCATACAGGCTGCTTTGAACCATAAGTGCCAATGCATCTTAAATTAAGACTACTTTGAGCACAGTGGGAAAACATCAGGCTATACATGACAAATCTGCCCTCCTGGGTTTCTCCAGATGACCACAACCCATTTTTCCATTAATCATTGTTGGTGGTTTCTAAACAAGTTGTTTCTCATTCTAAAATGTTGACAATTATTAAAACATACTGACATTGCTTATTTTATTTTATTTTTAAAATTTTCCATCCAGTGGCACCAAATGTGGCCAAATAAATTATATGGAATGGAATTTGTCCTTAGTCTAAAACAGATGCACCACTTTGGTCTAGGGCAGGGGCTGGCAATCACCAGCATTTAAAGGTGAACCCTGCAGTACTGCATCCACATCACTTTCCCTAATGACCCCCCCACCCCAAATGTGAGAGACCAAACTTTATTTCCTTAGAATAACTGTCAATGGGTGCATCTACACCAGTGTTTCCCAACCTGGGGTCTGCAAGAACGAAAATATGGTTTGTGGCATCACCATTACTATACCGTTGCCTCGAAAGCACACTGAAACGAGAGTGACTGGTCTCTTAGAGTGCCTAGGCAATGGGGATGTTGGAAGGGGAGAGACTGACTGCCCACGAAAGATTGCTACTACCACATCAGCTCTAGAGGATTAAATATGGTTTTCTATGGCTAAGCAGATGGCGACTACTGGATGGCTTATGTTCTGTATCAGAAACTAGAGCTGATGTGGTTTAACCAATGCAATCTTCTGAATCAGCACACCAAATAACCAAAGCAAATCTAAAGTTGACCAAAAACTGATTTGTAATCCTTTTGGTACTAATGTTGGAGAGTGGTCCCTGGTCAAAAAAAGGTTGGGAACCACAGATCTACACAGTAGAAATGCAGTTTGACACTGCTTTAATTGCCATGAAGCCAGGAGCCCCCAGTGGTGCAATGGGTTAAACCCTTGTGCCAGCAGGACTGCTTGGAGGTTCAAATCCGGGGAGAGCATGGATAAGCTCCCTCTGTCAGCTCAAGCTCCCCATGCGGGAACAGGAAAGAAACCTCCCAAAAGGATGGTAAAACATAAACATCCAGGCATCTCCTGGGCAATGTCCTTGCAGATGGCCAATTCTCTTACACCAGAAACAACTTGCAGTTTCTCAAGTCATTCCTGACACGATTTTTTCCCCCCAAGAATCAATGCTATGCAGTTTGGTAGGAAACTAGTATTCTTTGCAGAAAGAGCTAAAGATCTTGCAAAACTGAAAATACCATAATTTCATAGCAGATGTTTGCCTTAAATAATTGTAACAATAATATCAGCAATGCCCTCAGTACAACTTAAATAGGGGGAATCAAGATTTCACCTACCCCGCCCCATTGGCATTGCATACCAAACTACATAATAAACATACAGTAAATACCAATGATCTATTCAGAACAGAGCATGTAAACATAAATGCAGCTTAGTAAGGAAACACAATATATGACACTAAAGTTGTTGAAAGTCATGGTGTCATTTTACTAATAGTAGGCACAATGAAATGGTCAATACTCTGTGGCTAACAATTCCCTCAACTTTTAAGCATGACCATAAAATGCTGCTGCTAGAAAAAGTCACGATACACCGATGCGCTGTGGTGAGATAAAGAAAACAAATGTGGAACATAAACTCCCTCAGTACATGTTCTTCTTTTTGGAGATATAATTTACTATGACTTTTAGAGGAATTTTAAAGACGTTAGCTGCACACATCTTCAAATGACATTTATCATGAGCATGATTTTTCCCTAGTCCCAATAAGAAAACTTGGTAAGGAAATAAATTAATTTAATCCTTCAGCCTTCAAAATACCTCCTCTGAAGCACATATACAATGAACAATTTCAATTTTATTTCATCAAATACTCTTGTTCCCATTCCCATTTGTAGTGATCAGCAGCCGAATCAACTGGTGCTATGATTTTAGTCTTTCTGTTGGCAGGGTGCCCACCATTGTGCCACGCTGCACGAATCAATGCATACTCACTGAGCCAAGTCATTCTAATTAATTTCAAAGTTAATTTCTGCAACAACAAAAATAGCTCAGAAGTATCAATAAAGTTTACTAATAGATCTGTCATCATTGTTACAATAACATTATAAGTCTAAGTGTTTTGTAACAGCCTGCTCAAGCATTCATTCTCAAACTGTCTCTCAGAACATGTTAGAACGTATCTTCTGTTTGCCACAGGGAATGAGCAGTTCCAATTAAGGTAATCACTCCTAAATTAGGAGTTTAGGAATTAATTCAAAGCAACTAAAATATCTGAAATCACAGAGACTCTGGCAAACCCGAATATTTAGGAACAATCAAACACTAGCCCTTGATCATTCTTTGTGAACTAAGTATTTGATTTCTTCTAATCACAATTCAGGATTGTGTGCCCTCAAGGTGGTGGTTCATGTGACACAAACTCAGGTAATTACTATGTAGTTTATAACAATTTCTCTGTTAATTTACTAAAACACAGAAGCTGCTCCAAACATTGAAAAATCAGGGTCGTTTTATTTAAGCAGGCCAGAACTTGAAAGATCTGAATGACACCTAATACTCTGAAGGTAGTTGAACAAAAGCCAACCTGAAGTCAAGGAAATGCATTTGATGATCATAGCTTTTAAAAGCAACAGCAAAAAAAAGAAAGAGAGAGGGAGGATTTTTCTATGTCATCTACTCAGTGACAAAAACAAAGCTGAAAGGCACTGGGTCATCTTAATTATCAACGACAGCAAGGATTCTTAACCAAGGGTTGATTGATGCATTAAGAGAATCTATGAACCAAACATACAAATAGTACTTTTTTCTTTCTTTCTTTCTTTCAATTTGTTATTGCTATTTTTGTTTTAAAAAATACACATTTAAACATCAGATTATGTGATCAAGAAACGGATTTTGTCCAAACAATTGTAGGCTGAACATAGTCATGAAGCACATCACTACCACCATCGTGCTAGAAACAAATAGCTAATTTTCATCAAATAAGTAATTCTCATCAAATAAGACAGGTTCGAGGTTCAAATCCGGGGAGAGTGTGGATGAGCTCCATCTGTCACCTCCAGCTCCCCATGTGGGGACATGGGAGAAGCCTCCCACAAAGATGGCAAATCATCAAAACATTCGGACATCCCTTGAACAATGTCCTTGCAGATGGACAATTATCTCACACAAGAAGTTACTTACAGTTTCTCAAGTCGCTCCTAACATGGAAAAAAAATCAAATAAGTCCATGACCTTGTCTGCCCCCTCCAAAATTAAGTATCACTGAGCTCCAGCATCCTGCTGTAAAAAAGCCTTCCTCCGTGTGTAGACCTATTTCCTTGTTATTACTGTTGTTGCTGACATTGATTTGCATTATTTTTCTTGGCAAGGAAGAGAGGGAGAATAAGGTGAGTTCCTTATCCTCATCTCCACGTCTGTTGATTCATGCAGACATGGCAGGCAAACGTAAATAGGAATAAGAGGGAATAGCGAGACTGAGGACTCTGGAGGTTAGCAGTCCTGTGGTGGTCTGATCGTCTTGGGAGATGCCTACTAATTCCATGCTAGGCCTTGGCAATCTTGTGTTAGGTTACTGAGAAGTACATTGTCTGTCCACCTAAATCTGTACATAAAAATATCTCCATGTTAAAATGGCAAATTTTGATGCAAGCATATGAGGATCTACCACAGTGGTTCTCAATCTGTGGGTCCCCGGGGTTTTTTGGCCTAGAACTCCCAGAAATCCCAACCAGTTTACCAACTGTTAGGATTTCTGGGAGTTGAAGGCCAAAACATCTGGGGACCCACAGGTTGAGAACCACTGATCTACGAGATTAATTCTGCCCTGCTTCCTTTCACTGATGGTGAGCAGAACTAATCTTTCAAGGGTGGGCTAGGACACAATCGCAAAGCTGAATTCATTTTAAAAAGAAGAATCCAAACTTCCACCCTCACTTCAATTTCACCCTTTGTGAAAAAATACAGTTACGAGAATTACGAGCAACATTTGTGAAAAAGAAGTAACAGCTTGGACAGACGGGCTAAGCCCTGTTTTATGAGTTTGATTTTGCGACTAGACCCTGTTTTGTGACTGTGATTCTTCTGGCTTTACTCCAAATTATCTATGCTTTCCATATAACAGATGGAAGATACCTGAATTAGACATCAAAGTGATTAACATTTAAGAATAATCTTTGTAACTACAAAGGCTAGGTATGCAGATATATGAAACAGTTTTATGTTGTTAAAATGAACTTGTGTCTCATTTCACCAGCAAGGAAAAGCTCCTTACACATATCAGTGGCAAAGTAAAACAAGCCTCTCTGTTTTCTGCCATAGAAAGTTTGCTCTCTTAGAAATTATTCTGATAGGTTCCATGACCTCTCTTTGGCCATTCTTTCTCCACCCACTTCAGCAACAGCTTCTCAATATCAACCCTTTGATATAATTTACAGAGTTCTACCAGCTGTTCCACAGTTCTGTCACTGTTCCGTAGCAAAAACTCCAGGGTGGGACTTTGTGGTTTCTGTTCCAGGAAACACAATTCATCATAGGTCATTCCCCATTTGCTTGCAAAATTTCTCCAGTTTTTCACTGTTGGGTGCGATGGATCCAACTTGATCCTCATCATATATAGCAAGTCCTCATCATTGAGCAAGTCACTGATGGTTGGTTGGTGAGACAGACATATGGAGCAGGTGCCATTTTCTGTACAGGATTTCTTCACAGCTAGAATTACAATTATATGGCAATTACAATTATGTGACAGAGTTGTTTGCTGGCACGTATAAGTCAATGGCATGGATCAGATATAACAAGCCTGGTCCAATAAACCATAGTTTATCAGACTAGAATGGTTTTGTGTGTCCAAACACTTCCTTCTTCTTCCTTCCTTTCTTGCTTCTTGATGAATGCCTGGATTCAAAGCTTTCTTGGTGTCTTAAATCACAATTTCCCAAAACAACAGAAGTAGGAAATCATGATTTGAGAATATCTCCAAATCAATATATCAAACTATGACCTGAATATGAATACGTAATCTTTATATCTGAGATGTACTAAGAAAAATGTGCTATTTCTAAAATAAATTGGTATATGTATGAATATTTTGATTTGGTTTTAATATATAAATTGCACCAAAAACCATATGGACACATTAAACTGAATTATACCAGTCTTGGTATGCATAGTTCAGTCCTGCTGGCCACAGCTTCCATTATCATAGCCAAATAAAATCCTTCCTAGACTTTTTATGCAAGTTATTCTTTACTGGAGAAACCAGCAACTGGAACCTGGAGGTTACCATTGCAAAAATATGCTATAACTATATGAATAAAGCAGTATTGCTTGGTGACCTCAGGATGCCTTTCTAAAGTGGACCCATGAGCACATGTTAACACAGGCATAGGTTAACCTTGGTCCTCCAGGTGTTTTGGACTTCAACTCCCACAATTCCTAACAGCCTACTGGCTGTTAGGAATTGTAGGAGTTGAAGTCCAGAATAGCTGGAGGGCTGAAGTTTGCTCATGCCTGTGTTAACATATTCTGACTTATGTCAGAACTGATTAGAAGCAAGGCCTTGGATTCCATTTTCCATACTGCAACTGTACTCATTCATCTCCAAACAAGTTATGCGGACAAGTCAGCCCAGTGGCTTGCATGCATCCACTTAAAGGATCATGTTTGGAAGTCATTTTGCAATCAACCACATATCATCTTGCCACTCCCAAGGAACTGAACTAAAAGTATCTCTTTAATTGATTTTACATGACCACAAGTCACATACTACAATCGGGTTACTTGGCAAAAATTTAGAAGAAAATTTGAATAGTTTAGAAGAGATTTTGTCATTGCTTTCCTCTAAATCTGAGAGAGTGTGGTTTCCCAAAATGTGGTATCCCATAGCTGAACTGGGATTCAAACTCTGGTTTCCTGGAATTTTAGTGTAATACTCAAACATCTACAGCATGCTGGTTTTGACAATAAATATATTAATTTTATAGTGACAGTTCCAAAGGACATTTCACAGAATGGCAAGTTAACTCCGTGTTTTATAAATACATTACAACTGTACCCTTGGTTTGCTTCTGATACAATAAATAAATAAATAAATAAATAAATAAATAAATAAATAAATAAATAGTTACAGTTCTAAATATCTAATTATCATATCAAGAAGTCAATTATGACAATAAAGGTGGATATAGTCAGGCACTGTGTTACCTGTAGGTGATTCACCAGTACTGCTTTGACTGTCATCATCTTCTTCTGGCTAGAAACAAAAATAATCTTGCATTAAAGTCATGTTTAAAAGAAAGAAAAGGTATTTTAAATTCTTACCCTATCAAATCTGTATCTATAATTGTAAGTACTGCCCTATATTTCTCTAGCCAGAGGAGGACTGGTAGGAATTAGCCATTGTATGCCATATTCTAAATGCTTTAGTCAAGCTTTGGGAATGGTTCTCAGGAGTAACGCAGTGCAAAAGGGCAATACCTAGCCCCTTTCTACACAGCTGTATAGAATCCACATTGAACTGGATTATATAGCAGTGTGGGCGCTGATAACCCAGTTCAAAGGAGATATTATGGATTATCTGCCTTGATATTCTAGGTTATAAGGTGATGTGGAAGGACAGTATGTTTGAAAAAGACCTTGGAGTCCTCGTGGACAACAAGTTAAACATGAGACAACAATGTCATATGGCATCAAAAAAGCCAATGGGATTTTGGCCCGCACAAAAGGGAGTCTAGTGTCTAGATCCAGGGAAGGCATTCTATCCCTCTATTCTGCCTTGGTCAGACCACACCTGGAATACTGTGTCCAGTTCTGGGCACCGCAATTGAAGAGAGATGTTGACAAGCTGGAATGTGTCCAGAGGAGGGCAATTAAAATTATCAAGAGTCTGGAGAACAAAATCTAAGAGGAGCGACTTAAAGAGCTGGGCATGTTCAGCTTGCAGAAGAGAAAGCTGAGAGGAGACATGATGGCCATGTATAAATATGTGAGGGGAAGTCATAGAGAGGAGGGAGAAAGCTTGTTTTCTGCTGCCCTGGAGACTAGAACATGGAACAATGGCTTCAAACTTCAAGAATGTTAATTCCACCTGAACATGAGGAAGAATTTCCTGACTGTGAGAGCTGTTCAGCAATGGAACTCTCTGCCCCAGAGTGTGGTGGAGGCTCCTTCTTTGGAGGCCATCTGTCAGGGGTACTTTGAATGCAATTTTCCTGCTTCTTAGCAGGGGGTTGGACTGGATGGCCCACAAGGTCTCTTCCAACTCTATGATTCTATTATTCTAGTTTTAAAAAGTATTAACTATGGCAAGACACTAAGCTTTGATATAACAGCAGCAGATACTTTTGTTATTACCAAATTGCTACATGCATTCCCCCCCTCTTTTCATTACCGTTTCCAAGATAAAAGCAAGATGGGGGTTTTCCCCTTCAATATTTTAAGTAAAGTACAGCCGGCTTTTGTATAGCATTATCACGTAGCTTTCTGGAGCAGATTGTGAGCATTGCATGCAAATACAAGTAAACTGTACAGTTGTATAATACACTGTAATCAGACACCTTATCCACCTTAACAGTATCAGTACATCCATTCCAAAAATAACTTACATACTAAGGTATGATCATGGCAACAATGTCTAATTTATTTGATTTAAAATAGCAAGAGGTGCAGATAAAAATCCCCCTCCTTTAATTAAATAGTCTTGTATTCAGTGTTGACTGTGCTAAACCTAGTGTTTCTCCAAAATTGGTAAAGTAGACATGTTGTCTTTGTATCTGATATGTTTCTAAATGTTACACAATGGCATACTTCTGACAAGGAACATTTCTTCAAAAGGCTTTTCATTTCCAGTATTATGTTAATGTTGTGTTTTTGTTTTTATCGAAGTTGCACAAGCTTCGGATATTATTCAGTTGCGGATTTGTCCCTCCAGTCTTCCAAGAGYTTAGTGCTTAAGTGCTCGGTGRGAGTGACTGGCACTTTTYCTCCCATTGTGTCAGAAACTGGTAGGTAAAGGTAAATGTTTWCCCCTGACATTAAGTCCAGTTGTGTCCAACTCWGGGGGTTGGTATTCATCTCTATTTCTAAGCCGGCGTTGTCCATAGATGCCTCCAAGGTCATGTGGCGAGCATGACTGCATGGAGCGCCATTACCTTCCCACCGAAGCGGTACCTATTGATCTACTCACATTTGCATGTTTTCGAACTGCTAGGTTGGAAGAAGATGGGGCTAACAGCAGGAACTCACCTCGCTCTCCAGATYTGAACCAGCAACCTTTCRGTCAGCAAGTTCAGCAGTTCAGCGGTTTAACCCACTGCAYTACTGGGGGCTCCTCCAGAAACTGGTACCATATCTATACCCATTGGCTACAACAATTCCTTGGTTTCCTGGAAGCTCTCAGAGCCTAGAAAGAGATGTCGCAGGGACTGGCACTACTTTGCGTGGCACAGGCCTAGCCATTATCCACATTTGAAAGTGGGCTGGATTGATCTGCACTGAAAGGGTTAAGGGGAAGACAAAACTGACTCCTGACTTCTCTGTTATCCTAAAGTTTATCTATCTGTATCAGGGAGGGTTCCCCCCCCCTTTTTTTTTTTTAAGGCTTGGAGAAGACAGTCATGTTTCTCCTGCCAGACTGCCAGGAGACATGAGGAATAATCCTCAACACCTCAATATTTTACAGCACGTCCCACTTATAGGCTGTACTGTTATTTGAAACAGACTGCTTTCCTGTGAATTGTCTGAAAATTTAAGGAGCCTAGAAAATGCCCTGCAGCAATCAGTTCTTTGCCAAAAATATGAGAACTGCCCAACTGGATCAGACCTGTCTGGGATTATGTTTTTGCGCAGCTGTCTGATAGATCCCTTTGGAAAACTAAAAAGGAGTAAACTCTCTCTTGAAATAGGCATTTTTCACTTGTAATAACTAACAGAAGATAGCAATGTATGTGGCCCCTTCCACACAGCTGAATAAAATCCCACATTATCTGCTTTGAACTGCATTGTGGACTCAGATAACCCAATTCAAAGCAGATATTGTGGGATTTACTGCATTTAGATTCTGGGATATAGGGCTGAGTGGAAGCCCCCTCTGTCCATCCAAACAGGAATAAACTCCAAGTGGATGTCTTATTAAATGGTAGAGAAATTGCCTGTGAAATAGGATAACAAAACCTTGCAGAGTATGAAGAAATCGGATGATGTTTTCCAAAACAGTGTGCTCACTGGTTTACTCAGTATGGTTTATTTCCAAGCCATCTAAACAAAATTTACAGAAACTGAAAAAATGCTTAGGCTATGCATTCATTTGCTACAAAATGCAATTTCAAAGCTCTATACCAAAGCAATTTGATACATTTTGATTTGTACATAATATTCTACTCAGAGCCAACAATTGCTGACATCTATAATTCATTTTTCTTCATTGTTTAAATGGAATATTTTGGAAACAAACTCTATGAATGTAATATCAAAAATTATCTGTTTATATTGTAATGAAACTGACTCAGGAGAGGCTTTGAAAAGTAACAGTGGGAATACCAAAGAGGAAGAATTAGTTTAAAGTAGGATGAAATTGGTGTGTGGCATGTACACATTTTAGAATAAACTGCAGAAGTTTTGCTTTGTTCATTCAAATAGTAGGGCACCAAATTCTACATAACATCAAAGATAATCTGGGTTGTTGTAGGTTTTTCAGGCTGCATGGCCATGTTCAAGAAGCATTCTCTCCTGACATTTCACCTGCATCTATAGCAGGCATCCTCAGAGGGTGTGAGGTCTAACCTCACAACCTCTGAAGATGCCTGGCATAGATGCAGGCAAAACGTCAGAAGAGAATGCTTCTAGAACATTGCCATGCAGCCTGAAAAAACTACAATAACCCAGTGATTCCAGCCATGAAAACCTTTGACAATACATCAAAGATAATCCTTTCTAAATCAGAGGTGGTATATATTTAAGAAACCGTCACACTAAACTACAGCATGAGCTTCTGTCTCTAGGATGTGTGCTTCAATATCCATGAAAATTGCTGTGCACTTTCTAGAATGTTTGTTGTTGTTACTTATACCCCACTTTTTCTCTCCAAAGAAGACTCAAAGCAACTAACATTAAAAGCATTTTAATGTAAGTGTAATGATCCAGGAGGTAGCCAGGACTGTAGTACTGTAGTCGATGGGAGAAAAGCCAGCTCAACCTGATGCCACAGCCATATTCACAACATGCTTCCCTGGCAGATGTGCCTTGAAAATCCCCCTGCTATGCCTCTGTGATACCCTGGCTACAAGATGGCCATTTTTGCTTGAAACACAGTTTTAAAAATCACCATGTTCCGAATTGTCAGTTTATCAGGCTCCTTCTACATTGCCATATAATCCAGAGTATCAAAGCAGATAATTCAGATTATATGGCAGTGCAGAAGAGGCCTCAGATAACTCTTTATTAATTGCTCCTGACTTGAATTCCCAAGCCAGTCTTCAAATAGATTTTCAGGTGACTAAAGTATAGGTGTAAAAATAAGTGTTCGTTCCATTTTTTATCTCTCCGCAAACATTGTCAAAACATACATAAAGAAATGAAAAGGCAAAAGTTCTTCCTCGAGATTATATCTACTAGGATAGACACAATACACTGCACATTCAAATAATAAAGGCACTAGTTATAAAGTACTGCCATTTAACAAGACTATTTTTTATTGCCTGTTGATAAATTGCAAGACCAGACAAAACTATAAATTTGTCTTGCATGTAATGGAAGATGAGAAAAACCAGTATATCCTGAAGGCAAAACATGGCTTCTGCAAATCTAAATATAGGGAAGCATTTGTATGTTAGAATACATTTCAGTGCTTTAAAAAAGTTCACTGTAGGCAGGCTTCCAAATGATGCAAGACACAATTGTATATTTTTATCTTTGCCAGGTGAGAGAGGCCCAGTGACATTGGTGGAACTCACAATTGCCATGGAAGATTTGATGGAAAACGTGAGATGCATCAGCGTAGCACTCCGCCAGACATGTTATCCCTCTGACAAAGACACAACAGCAGAATAGCCAAAATGGGACAGTCATGAGCGGAGAGGGACGCACACAGGACACCTTTTCCTCATTCTGACTTATATTTCAAGGACCGCATTTTGGCTTGGGACTCACTACCTTCTCTCTCTCCACAATGCACTCTCCCATTCTATACCACTTTCTGGGCAGGCAACCCACACTGAAAAAGTGGAAGATACAAGTGTGTGTGAAGTATTCTGAGCTTTTTATATCAATGGGTTTTCCAATAGGATAGTTGAACAGTGCATTGTTTACCTGTTGTATCAGGCCCGAATCTGACGTTAGGCTCCTAATGTTGACAGACGCTATTTCCAAGGTCACTTTTTCTGTTTGGTACTCTTCATCTAAAAGACAAACATTCCTAAATGTTAGCAACCTTCAGAACTCTTGATCAAAACACTTCTAAATTTCTACAAGATGTTGATTGCACAAATTAAGAGATAACACAGAGGCTAAACATGATCAAATAGAGTTCTTGATTGCGAAATGAAGAGTTATTGGTTTCCCTATTTGCAGATTTCTTTCTGTATTAAATTGGGGGGGGGGGGGGAAATGCTCTGATGTGAGTCCTGCTACATACATTGGACCTTTTAACCTAAGACAGGCCCACATTTGTCATGATAACTATTACCTTTTGCAGAAAATTGCCATTCCTTCCTGTGCCATATGACTATTGGACTTCCATTTCTATCACACGAGACATGCTGGCTAAGGTTAATGGGATCTGGAGTACACTGTAGGCTCTAAAGCAGGCATGGGCAAACTTCGACCCTCCAGGTGTTTTGGACTTCAACTCCCACAATTCCTAACAGCCTCAGGCCCCCTCCTTAAGCAGCTGGGGAGGGGGGGAGGGCCTGATACTGTTAGGAATTGTGGGAGTTGAAGTCCAAAACACCTGGATTGTGAAGTTTGCCCTTGCCTGGTCTAAAGGATATATATATGTGTTCATTTAATCTGATTCCTGTTATATGAATTCAGCCAGCACAAATATCCTACACGAGTATACAGATAGCCACCATATTCAACAGTAGCATTATAAAGCTTAAAGCAGTGGTTACCAACTTGAAGGCCGCAAGACCTAAAATAAGGTCTGTGGCTCTAGATTATTAAATATGGTTGTCCGTGGGCAAGCAGATGGCGAGTACTGGATAGCATATGTTCTGTATCAGAAACTAGAGCTGATGTGGTCTATTCAAGGCAATTTTCTGAATCAGCACCGCAAATAACCAAAGCAAATCTAAAGTTGACCAAAAACGATTTGTAACCCTTTTGGTACTAATGTTGGAGACTGGTCCCTGGTTAAAAAAAAAAAAGTTGAAAACCACTGGTTTAAAGAAACCATGGAAGACTGAAGATCACATAAAATCACCTGAGAAACCTTGATGGGTTGAAATCTAATCACACATCCATTGTTTTTAAAAAAGCAATTTTTGCTAATCACCCTGCAGAGGGTTTATAAAAAGTTGCTACTAATACTAGAAATTCACAAGGAAATATTGGCATAGAATCAAATGGATGTCAGGGCAAAAACAAGTACAACTGAATTTCCCACCAAATTCTGAGACTTTTGGGAAGTCTGAAGATGATCATAAATTAAAAAAAATGATGATTGCAAAAAGCTGCCAGCTTTGTAAGATAACAAGAAACATTTAGGTATTGGAAGTCACACTGTGAATAGCAAGTTGTATTCTGCTTACATTGTGGCAATAGAAAGCAGACAACCGGAATGGTTTCTGAATATACCCTTTAAAATATTGTCATTGTTCTTGTGTTGGTTATGAACTGGGGAAAATGGATATGATTTGTTCCCAACCACTATCTGCCCCTTCCATTCATTCCAGGTTTCATTTTTAACAGTGTTATCTTCGCATTTCATTGTGCCCATGGCTCAATACCTGCACGTATCTCCCATTGTCTGGAAAAAAAACATTTCTCACAGGGTCACAGTGAACCAGAATAGCCTGAAGCACACATAGGGTTCCACACACACACACACACACATATGAATCACATATTATTTGCCTTACCTTTGGGTAATGCTGTATCTTGAACTGGGTACTTTTCTGTCTCTCCAAAAAACTGAAAGGAGGACAAAATTTATATTGATTATTGTTCTTGTGTTGGTGTTCCACAAAGTTGGAAAAGTCTACTCCTGCCATTCAGGGACACACAACCAAAGTACTCCTGACAGATGGCCATCCAGCCTTTGCTTAAAATCTCCAGCAAAGGCAACTCTACCACACTCCAAGACTGTGAGTTCCACTGTTGAACAGTTGTTACAGTCAATAAGTTCTTCCTAATGTTTAGGTGGAATCCTTTTTTTCCTGCAATTTGAATCCATTACTCCATATCCTAATCTCGAGAACAACAGAAAACAAACCTGTTTCCTCCTCAATGTGACATCCTTTCAGATATTTAAACATGGCTGTCATGTTCCCTCTTATCCATCTCTTCCACAAGCTAAAGATACCCAGCTCCCTAAGCTGCTCCTCATAGGGCTTGGCTTCCAATCTTCTATTATTTTGGTAGCCCTTCTACTAAGTGCATTTTCTATGCAGTTGTTTTCAAGCTTGTGAAATGTTAACTCATTCCTCTCAGTTATATCTGTATAGCATGTGGCTAACCTAAACTACAGACCATCAACTATCCTTACATTGTTAACAATTCACCTGCTATTGCAGTACCAGACAGGAAGGAAGGAAGAAAGGAATGGACATATATTTTTAGCAAAGTTGATGGAGGGGTACACATTCTGAGAATAGGACAAGGATCAATGAACACATGAGACTGTCACTTAAAAATGTCAAGCCCATGTAAATTCTCCCACTCAACTATATGGGGCAATTTACCTCACATCGCAACTTTGTTATGCTGGGTGTATAAAAGAGAGTGGCAAAAGGGTAACAAAATTAGTATATTAACAAAGTCTTCTTCCACACAGCTGAATAAAATCCCATATTTTCTGCTTTGAACTGGAATATCTGGCAGTGTGGACTCAGATAGCCCAGTTTAAAGCAGATATTGTAGGATTTTCTGCCTTGATACTCTGGGTTATAAGGCTGTGTGGAGGGGCCCAAAGAGGCCTTGTCCATTTTGAAAGGTTGCACTAACTTTCCATTACACTACTAAGTTCCTAAGATACATACCACCATCCCTCAAACCTCATGATCCCCAAGAAGGATATTATTTTCATGGCTCATTAGCCAAAGGAAAAGTGAAACAATTTTCATAATCTCTTCCAAATAAGTCCTCAGAATGAAAGGCATCCAGATGATAACATGTCTTACTTAAACGATGATAACATGACCCGAACAACCGATTTCCCTTCGTATTTTTAAAAAGTTATACATTTATAACTAAAATGTATTCATTGAATTCTCTATGGTATTCACAGTATAAGAAAGTCAGAAAACACTTACTTCTTCTGAGGATAAAGTGCTAGGATCAGTATCTTCTACTGGTTCTTTAGCTTCCTGTTCTTTTGGAAAGAAACAAAAAAAGCATTTCAAATAACTTACTTTATGCCTGACCATAGTAAACATTGCGTGTAATGTACTGATATACTGGTACATAGAAATGTAAATATATAGATATGGGGCAATGTACACACAGAGAGAATGGCTACTTATAGTATACCTTGGCCAGAAGTATAATAATAATAATAATAATAATAATAATAATAATAATAATAATAATAATAATTTACTTGTATTCCATCCTATCTCCCCAAGGGGACTCAGAGCAAATTCCAGCAATCACAAAACACAAAGGCAAACATTAAATGGTTTAAAAACAGCCATAAACATGAATACAATAACAACCAAGTGCACTCTTGATTATAAAATAGCCCAGAAAGGACCAAAATATGATGAAAATGCTTCCCTTGTTCTGTAGAAAGCGTTTATGCGCAAAAATTTGAAGGTTTTGATATATGTGTGCATTTTTGTGGGAGTGGCTGGGACAGAGCCCTCCAATGTTTCCTGCTTGGACTAATGTGATCCCCATCGCAATCTGGACCAATTTGAACACATCATGCAAAGGCAATTCCCTATAGATAGAAAGACCTTTTTGTCAATAAACCACACAGCATCACTGCGATGATACAGAAGGAATCACCAGGATGCCACCTTGGACTCTTTAGCAAAACAGTGGGATAATTCTGTAATCTATAAATAGCTAGATGTTAGGAAGAAGTCGTCTCTTAGATATGCTGACTTTGCATCTGCAGAAAAATTTTAATATGAGAAAACGTCAAATACCACAACTGCTCACTGTCTGAATTGCCACCAGGATCAGATCTGAATGCTATAGAATGGGCATGGGCAAACTTTGGCCCTCCAGGTGTTTTGGACTTGAACTCCTACAATTCTTAACAGCTGGTAAGCTGGTAAGAACTGTGGGAGTTGAAGTCCAAAACACCTGGAGGGCCAAAGTTTGCCCATGCCTGCTATAGAAGATCCATCACTGTTTGGCCAAATGAACAGACCAGCTCTCCACATATTAAACAGCCTATATAAAATATTTAGAGCACCAGAAACTATATTTCTACTGTGTATTGTGATCTCGATCTCTCTCTCTCTCTCTCTCTCTCTATTAATAATTATTCTTCATACAATTGTTGAGTGTGGCTATTTTTAAGAGGAAGCAAATGAAAATTAATTTCATGAAAAAGGAATCCAAACAAACCTAAGGTTTTGAAAGCCAACTTGAAACCAAAGTAGATAGATAAGAATTGGCACAGAATAATGAAAGTACTGGATACTTTCCCAATTTCTCATTTACTTCTTATTCCTTATTGCTTTATGAAGCTTAAAATGGTTCTGGCTCAGGAGAGTGTAAAAAACAATGAGTAAAGAAACATCTTTGTGGTACTACTTTTTGTTAAAAATGTTAAAAACAAAACAAAATAAAAGGAAAAGGAGATGGCTATCCTAAGTACTATTACTTGTAGTTTCAGAGTTTCACAAGTTTCACAGGTTTCCTTTATAGTGTGTGTTTTTATTTTGTTTTGTTTTGTTTTTTGGAAATTTGAGCTTAGTCTGCAGGAATGCAGACTGAGGATTTATCAATAGATCTTAGTGATCTGTAGTAGCTTGTTCAGAGTTTCTCATCCCAGTTCCAACCACTTACAATATAAAATTGAACTACTCCTCTATTTTTTTCATGTCAGGAGTGACTTGAGAAACTGCGAATTGCTTCTGGTGTGAGAGAATTGGCCATCTGCAAGGACATTGCCCAGGGATGCCAGGATGTTTTACCATCCTGTGGAAGGCTTCTCTCATGTCCCCATATGAGAAGTTGGAGCTGACAGATGGGAGCTCACCCCCGCTCTCCAGCACAAGGGTTCAACTCCTCTGAAATTATGCTATTGAAAATATCATTTGGTGGGAAAGCTGGAGTGTTTGTTTTGTTTTTTGCACATGGGGACTTGATTCTGGTATTGATCACAAATTTCTTAGCACAAACCTCCCTGCCCGAGTCACTATGTTACTTCTGACTCCTTAGGAAAAACAAATAATCAAAGCAGAACTATAATCCTGATGTGCCCACTCTTCCTATACCCCATGGTATAGAAATATTGCCTTATGCTATATGACAGCTCTGCACTATCTGCTCTGATTAGTTGTGGTCCTCCAAGTCTCCAGAGATCATCCCCATCAAATGGTATTTGAACTTATAAACTGATATACTGATACACAGAATGCTGCATGGATGCTGTAGAACTAGAAACCCATCCAGAGTACATCATTACAGCACTGTTATTCCATTTAAACTGCCTGTGTGTTACAGCCTGTGTTGGATAGGGTCACACTCCCCCTGAGGACCCAGGTTCGCAGCTTGGGGGTGATCTTGGACTCATTCCTGAATCAGATGATGACAGTGGCTAGGAGCGCCTTCACAGTTAAAACTTGTGCGCCAGCTGTGCCTGTACCTTGAGATGCCAGATCTGGCCATGGTAGTCCATGCCTTAGTCACATCCCATTTGGACTACCACAATGCTCTCTACATGGGGCTGCCTTTGAAGACAATTCGGAAGCTCCAATTAGTCCAGAGATTGGCAACCAGGTTACTAACTGGGGCACTGTACAGGGAGAGAACCACTCCCATGTTGCGGCAGATCCACTGGCTGCAGGTCCACTTCCAGGCTAAATACAAAGTGTTGGTTGTTACCGATAAAGTCCTAAATGGTTTGGGTCCAGGCTATCTGTCAAATTGTGTCTCTCTCTATCAGTGGTTCCCAACCTGTGGTCATGGACCACCAGTGGTCTGCAAAAATGAAGGGGAGGAGGACTAGCGCATCTTAAGTCAATCCCACTAGGATGCTGGCAAATTTACTTGAATCTGATAGGCTGCTATGGAAAATTTAAGATTTTATTGATATGTTTCTGGCATTTTGACACTGTGTTTTTAGTGCAACTATGTTTAAATATTAGCATTTCTCATTGTTATTTTATATTAATTCTATTTTTTTAGTAGTTATAAGTGTATTGATGTTTTTGTATTGCTTTGATTTTTTGCTGGCTATGACATTGAATGTTTGCCTTTTTCCATATGTAAACCTGCTCTGAGTCCCCTCAGGGAGAAAGGGCAGTCTATGGGCCCTTTCACACAGCCCTATATCCCTGAATATCTAGGCAGAAAATCCCACATGATCTGAGTATAGACTCAGATAACCCAGTTCAAAGCAGATATTGTGAGATTTTCTGCCTTGATATTCTGGGATATAGGGCTGTGTGAAAGAGATGTATTATTATTTATTGGACTTCAACTTGCACAGTTGTGAGAGCTGGAAGTCGAACACCTGGGGGGGGGGGCGAAGTTTGCCCACACCTGGTGTGGATGCATCAACATCTGAAAAAGTTCTTCATCAACCAATGAGGGCCCTTCCACACAGTCCTATATCCCAGAATATCAAGGCAGAAAATCCCACATTATCTGTTTGGAACTGGGCTATCTGAGTCCACACTCAGATCAGGTGGGATTTTCTGCCTTGACATTCTGGGATGTGAGGCTGTGTGGAAGGGCCCTGAGACTTCATTTGGTGTAGTCACCTGTCTTCTGGCCCTGGCTTCACTGTCAAGACCTTGCTCCTCCAGCCCAATTCCGCTTGGGACAGGTGGAAGTTGGTTCTTCCTCAAGGAGGAGAGAAGCGAATTGGGCAGAACCGCAGAAGGCAGCAATTCCGCCGCCCTTCAGAAGGCTGATGCTGCGGGGCTTAATTAATGTATGGAGTGTCTGCGCCAAATGATTCACCCAGGCCTTGGAGGGCGAGCTGCTCCCGAAACGCCCTTTGCCAAGCGAGAGGCACGCGAGAATGAGGGAGAGGGGAAGGAAGGAAGGAAGGAAGGAAGGAAGGAAGGAAGGAAGGAAGGAAGGAAGGAAGGAAGGAAGGAAGGAAAAGAAGGAAGGAAGGAAGGAAGGAAGGAAGGAAGGAAGGAAGGAAGTGGAGCCTCAGAATTGGGCTTAGAGAGAGAACTAGAAAAGGGGTCCTGTGTTCTTCAACTGAGGGAAAGGCACAAGGCTGGCGGCTCTGAGACAATAACAACCCAAACGCACAGAAAGCAGTGCTTGAGGAGGCGCCCACGCGTGACGGACAGGCGCGCTGTCCACTCCTGCGGCCACTCCTTGGCCCCGCCCACAAAAGGCCGGCCACTGCCCGCTCTCCGGCCAGACTGAGCCAGGCGACGCCCCTTCCCACCTGAAGGCGCAAATCTGGCGGGCTTTCTCTCTTTCCTTCCTACCTTGAAGCAGAGGGTCTCTGTTGGGAGAAGCCATTGGGAGCGAGGCGAGGGGGAGGCCGGGAGGGGCCAAGGGGCCCTTGGAGCGGGGTCGGGTTGGGCTCCGCTTTGGGGCCCCTTTCCGCCTCTTCCTCCTCTTCCCAAGAGGAGCGAAGCCCCTGCGCTCTCCCTCCTCCAAGGCGAAGCGCCTGCCTCTCAGGGGAGCGGAAGCGGCAGGTAAAGAAAGCCCCGACTTCACAGGGAAGGAGGGAGAGGGAGAGAGAGAGAGAGAGAAAGGAGCCTCTGTGGGGCGGAGGAGGGAGAGCGGCTCTCCCCACCCAGCCCCAAGCCATAAATATGCATACACTACTGTGTGCCAGATCAGGATCCTTTATTATCTCAAGTTTCTTCTATAAGAGAATACCTTGCTTCTAATCAAGGTGAAAGAAGAAAGTGCTGGGTTGCAGTTAAACATTAAAAAAACAAGATTATGGCAAATACGTGGAGGCTGTGACAGACTTTGTATTTCTAGGGGTGAAGATGACTGCAGATGCAGACTGCAGCCAGGAAATCGATATATAATTTTGGAGAGCCGCCAGTGGTGCAGCGGGTTAAACAGCTAAGCTGCAGAACTTGCAGATAGAAAAGTTGGTGGTTTGAATCCGCAGGATGGGTGAGCTCCCGTTGCTAGCCCCAGCTTCTGCCAACTTGGCAGTTCAAACATGCAAATGTGATTACATCAATAGATAATGCTTCTGTGAGAAGGTAATGGCGCTCCAGGCAGTCATTCTGGCCACATGACCTTGGAGATGCCGGTTCTTCAGCTTAGAAATGGAGATGAGCACCACCCCCAGAATTGGACTTGACTAGACTTAATGTTAACGGAAAACCTTTACCTTAAAAAATAATAATTTTGAAACTTACACATATTCCTTTCATTTCTTCAAATCCTGTCATAAGTTGACTTAGAAAAACACAAGCAAACGGGTTTTACTGATTAAAAGCTAAATACGTGGTAAAAGCTACATACGTGGACCAATCCAGTCCACATATATTTAGTTTTTAGCTTACCTTTTGCAAACCACTGACCACCTGCTGCAATGCAACCTGAGCCCTTCTACATGCACAATGGAGGACCTTCTTGTGGCAACACCTGAGTCACTCCAAGTGGCCAGATACTGGTCAAAGGACATTTAATCAACTACCAAGTTTGCAAAATTTGTTTTTTTATCTGTTTGTTTGTTGTGTTCTGTTAGAAATGTAATACAATGGTATGGTTGCTGATGACACGATAAATAAATAACCTTAGCTTTTAAGTTCTTGGTTGGTTTTAATGAGAGCTGTTAAGGTCTAATACTGAATTTGAGTGGTGGCCCATGATGGGTTTCCGGGGTAGTAGCAGAGAATAGGCCCTGACTTTAATCTTTTAGATTAGGCATCCCCCCATTGGAATCAATTTGTCTTAGGCCCAATCTACACTGATCATTTAATGCAGCTAGTTTCAAACAACAAAAGACCCACAAAAGCACACAAACTTTGATCTACTTTAATGCACATCAGTGCTCTGTGGTTTGTGTAATCACCATACAGGCCTCAAACTGGTTCCAAGTTTTTGTGTGTAATCCTCTACACACTTTCTCCAATACTGGTTTGAAACTGCATTGAATTGACAGTGTAAATGGCCCTCAGTAATGCTTAACTTTGGATTATGCATGACAAAATATAAAACATTATTGCAGGGAGCTTTCTTTTTACTGTGTTTTTAAATGTGGTTAAATTAGAAAGATCATTGGTTAGGATCCTAAAAGAAGTGAACAGAAATATGTTAATAGGTGAAATCTTGAGTGATTTCACTTTTCTAGTAGTTTGTTACATCTCACTCAGTTTTGACAGCTCCCACTCCACAGTGCACGAAAAGAACTTCCCAGGGTCCAAGCACCTGTCTTCTTACCTAACCCACAGTGTTACTGTCTTCGGTGGATGATCATCCTTGCTTGGTTGACAGCATAATCCTAGACATGTTTACTTAGGAGTCAATGAGGCCCCTTCCACACAGCTCAATAAAATCCCATACTATCTGCTTTGAACTGGAATATATTGCCATGTGGACTCAGATAACCTAGTTCAAAGCAGACATTCTGGGTTATACAGGTGTGTGGAAGGGCCCTGAGATATAGCTCCAGGAAGGAATGTATAAGATTGCAAGCCTAAATGAATTTGCTCAAAAATCATTGTAGCAATTACTTTACTGCATAATTAGTAAGAAAGATCTTCATGGTGTGTATCCACCCTTGTTCTCTGGACTTGATGGATGACAAATCAAAGGAATAAATGAAACAAACATTCCTGTCATGAATGTAATTTTTAATATTTATCTTGATCAGCAGCAGCCAATATAAATGTGACTTTAGTTAATGTAGTACATTCTGTTTCTTCCAAATCATCAAGATGTTCGTTGATTTCCGCTTCATGGGTGAAAGACAGATCCATAGAAAACATTCCTTATAGGCAGATAAGATGTTTCTATGTTCAGTTTCTTGAATTCTTGTATTTGAATTCTAAACAACAGATGTAGAGGGTGAAGATGCTTCCAATTGGATGACTCCTAGCTCAGATTCATAGAGCAAAAGGTGTACACTTCAGCATCAGACCTAAATAGCGACATATTCTGATCCACGGTTATCCAGTGGTGAGCCCTTAAGTAAGAACACGAGTGTAATGGCAGCTGTGTTCCTAAGCAACTGACTTTGACAGCCAGGCATGCTAGCTCTGATCCTAGAAGTAACATATAGCCACATTCTGCATTTGCTTTTTCTAATTCCATGTTAAAGTCTTCTGATTGGTCATCCCTTGCTATAACTTATGAATTCCATATTTGTCAGCATCAGGAAGACTTAAAACATGATGCATTCTGTGAAAAACTAACCCCGAGTAGTCATAACCAAGATAGGTAATATGCAACAAAATCCACAAAACAGTGATACTTTTTTCTTAGTCAGATAAAAACATTTTTAAAAAAACCAATATTACTGTTTTGTTAATGTTGTTTTATTTTGCTGTATGGCCAGCTCACCTAGCCCTGAACATGCAATTTAAGTAATGCTACAGAATGCTAGGAGCCCCCGGTGGCACAGCAGGTTAAACTGCTGAGATGCTGAACTTTCTGACTGAAATTGTGGTTCAAATCCAGGGAGCGAGGTGAGCGCCTGCTGTTAGCCCCAGCTTCTGTCATCCTAGCCATTGTAAATGTGCATAGATCAATAGGTACCCCTTCAGTGGGAAGGTAATGGCGCTCCATGCAGTCATGCCAGCCACATGACCTTGGAGGCATCTACAGACAACGTTGGCTCTTCGGCTTAGAAATGGAGATGAGCACCACCTTCCAGAATTGGACATGACTAGACTTAACGTCAAGGGGAAACCTTTATCTATGGAATGCTAAGAGGTGTAGTCTAACAACATCTGGAGAGCTGTGTGATTCCCATCCATGCAAAACAGAATTTAGTTAATTTGTAAATATGACTTTCATTTGTTTACAGCTTACACTGATGAATTAAATGTGGTTTACAAAATAGATGCCTATTTTTAGACAAAGTGAGCTAGATTTTTCAAACTGTTTTTCATCCTTTAAAGAAGGGATGGAATTCACATGACCCTTCTGATGTTGTTAGATTGCAAGTTCCAACATCATCATAGCGGATGGTGAGACATAAAGGAAGTCACAGTTCAACATAATTTAGAGTGCTGTGTGATCCTCACTCCTACTATAAAGGAAGTAACACAAAATTAATAAAGGGTTGGGGGTCGAGGTTGGAACTTTCATTCTTCCTTTAACAATTCAGAAAAAGAAAGAGTGCCCTCTGCTGATTCCTATGTCAATAATTCTGTTAAAAAAAAAAAAGCAGGAGGAAGGAGTTGCAAAATGCTGTGGGTATATGTGTAGAGCAGGGGTCCTCAGACTTTTTAAACAGAGGACCAGGTCACAATCCCTCAAACTGTTGGAGGGCTGGATTATAATTTGAAAAAAAACATGAATGAATTCTTATGCACACTGCACATATGTTATTTGTAGTGCAAAAAACACTTTAAAACAATACAATAATTAAAATGAATAACAATGTTAACAAATATAAACTTATTAGTATTTTAATGGGGAATGTGGGCCTGCTTTTGACTGATAAGATAGGATTGTTGTTGTTGCTGCTGCTGCTGTTGTGTGCTTTCAGGTTGTTTCAGACTTAGGTGATCCTGAGCAAGGCCGGGTAAATGACCATGGAGGGCCGTATTCGGCCCTCGGACCTTAGTTTGAGGACCCCTGGTGTAGAGTTACGGTGATCCCATGAATTGCATAGGGTTTACTTGGGCAAAGAATACTTCGAGGTGTTTCTTAATTAATCCCTCAAAAGAATGTACGTAGCTATGTTGATACAAAAGGAGCCATAAGGCAATGTCTATATTGTTTGGAAATAACTCCATTTGACATTTAACTTGGAGACAACAAAGGCTTTGTCTTGCTGTTTCTGATTCCAGTAAAAAATTAAATGCTTGTGACATTTCCTGAAGGTCAACACTATATTTGTTGAGCTAACAAACCACATTGAAACAGAAAGCTCAGCAGCCAGAAGATCTGCCTATATTTCTAGAATAGTAACTGGACAATTTGCAAAAATATGTGAACTAATTTTGGCTTATTACCATCCACATTAATTCTGTATAGATAACAATGGCTTAAAATTAACATGCAAAATATAAACTGCCACTTGCTAACTTTTATCAGTTGACAAATGTTTCGGTTGACAGGTGCTACGAGACAGATCTATAAATTTGATTGTATCTTACAAAGTAAACACTGCAAGGTAGTTTCATTGTACAATACACAATGTGGCAGTTTCTCATATTAGACCATTCTTTATATCTTCATAATATAGTTCTTACATTCATAGTTTCCTAAAGCTCTGGGTCTAAATGTAGCTGGCTCAATTTATAATTTCCCATGCATGCCAGAAATCCTCTGCTGATGTCTCCACCCAGTTTTGAAAATCTTCCTTTCCCCTCTGCCCATATATTTCTTGCAAATCTCCTGACCCTCATATAGCATTTTCAGATAGCTTTTATGTGGAGAAGGAAACAAGGAATTCTCACTCTTATCATATTTAAATCTAGATCCAGTCCAGTTTCTTAAGTCTCACTCATCTCATGGAAGTTTACGGTAATTTATGTATGCTCACTTTAGTGTGGAACTTGCTTTAGGGTAAGTAATGTAGAATTGGGTAGCCATTTCCTTTAAG